GGGGCCAGCGGCTGGGCTTTCCCAGCCCGGAGGCTGTGCTGGGAATTGTACAGAAGTTCAGGACAGTTAGATCAATCTAAAAATACCTAATCTGATCTAAGTTAACCCTACCTCCGAGGTACGCTTAACTTAGATTAGGTCAGCCAGTTTTAGACCAATCTAATTGTCGTGAACTTCTGAACAGTTCGCACTTAGATTGATTTAGCTATTTTAAGGTCCACACCTGGACAACTAAGTTAGATCGGGTGGCCATTTTTAATGTGATTTAACCTCCCTCTAACGTCCCCAAACTTCTGTTTACACTTCAAATGTCCTGAGTCCCAGCCTAGTACTACAATAGTCTCAGTAAATGGGTTGTATTTTCCATATGCATTGATCAACTGCTTCAAAGACAGGTCATTCTCAGGTCCAAATTCTTGTCCTTTGAGCTCAATCCATTACTAGCAGTGAGAAACAGATTATCTCCAGAGGATAAGATTCACTTCTGATTTCTCTCTCACAGATAGAACAATTTCTCTTCTCAACTTCCAACCACATATTGGTTGCCTTTAACTCCTGGAACCATCACTGAGAAGTTGAGCTCAGTTAGACTATCCACACAGAAATGAAAATACTGAAAGAGCAATTAATTATTACTTAGCTAAACTGCTTCCCTCCATGGCATGCCACACCTAGTCATTTACAGATCAATGTAGTTAATATTTGAGCCAAGCTCTTGGGTGAGTCTGAGAAACCATAAACTGTGCAGAGAAGCACAGGCTTGGCACTACTAACTTCAACAGGTGAGTGGAAGGGCTAAAAGAGGGAATATGTATTTTATGAAGAAATAAGATATTCATCCTTGAGGTATGGTATTGTCTAATCTACCTCCCTTTGAAAGATATTTTACAAGTGGAAGTAAGGGATTGGATTATTTTTGGGTGATGTTAGCAACTTGATGGCTTGTACTTGTTCTTTTCTTGGAAAAAGAAGAATGTCAGGTTTTGTGTTGGGAGTGGTTTGTCCTAATGCAGGTTAGTGTTTTGCTTCAAAGCAAAGTGTTTTAAACTTGAAAATGTGACCGTCTAAAACAAAAAATTTAAAATGCGTGTTTGAAATTAAGTTTAAAAGAAAAGTTTGTGGAACCAGATACTTTTTAGTTTGTTTTTTCATAGATGATTAATGTCTACAGTCACAGAATATTTATTAACAAAAGTTGCTGATATAGTTTCATATTTGCTATGCTAAATTTTTAGTTATTTTAGCCAGAGGCTCTATAAGAAAATCATTATGGATATCTTTAGAAAAAGTGTGGAGAATTGATCTATATTTTTGAACCTATAATTGAACCTATTGATTTATAACTGTGAAACCATGATCTCAGGAGTCAGATGCAAATTCTTTTTTTTTTTTAGTTACAAAAAAGTTTAGGTAGGCATTCCTCCCTTTTCTTAACTCCAACTGACTTAGTGTGTATTTAAAAAAAATACATATATTTAACTCTCGGCAGGCTTTGCTTTCTTTAGTGGGCAATTTTCTGTCTTCAGATCTCATGAGTTTTGTTTTTTCTGGGGATGGACAGAGGAATAATGCATTTCAGAGTGATCTGACCCACAAGAATGCCATGATACATAAGATCTGGAAGGCCATACCATAGCCATACTGTTCCTGCCTTGTGGTAGAAAAGGCTACGATGAAGAAATAAGCATTGATCAAATCTCAGTCCTGAGTTTTTTCAACATGTACAGTTTTTATTACATTTAGAGAAGAAAATAATAAGAAATAAGACACCCAGACAGTGGCTTAGGAAACCAATGTAACTCATATTACTGTATTTCTTAGTCAGATTTGGGTGGATTTATGCCATGTACATAAGTGCTTTTACCTAGTCTAAATAGTACATGAAGTTGAAATTCAATCCCCTTTTCAGGATTGCCTTTATGAAAAGAGAATAAAACTCTCACTCACAATAAGATAAAATAAAGATCAGTTCACACCTTCTCCATGAGCCTGGCTGGTTCTAAATTTTTTCCTCTCAGTACTGCTAAGCCCATATCCTAGATTTCTTGATGCCAGAAAGGATAAGTAGCCTTTCAAAGGAAGGCTTCATTTAAGCTTTTCAAAGGAAAATCAACACTTGACAACAAAGTTTTGATGTAAACTCTAGTTTTCTGACAAATTGCTGTTTTCCTGTTGACTTCAATTGTTTCCTGCATTTTAAACAGGTTGAGGTACTCTTGCTCCCTTCCTCTCTATATGCAATTTGTCTTTGTTTATGCAAGTCACCCTAGTGAGGTCAGTGGAGCTACTTTCATCAGTAATGACTAAGGACAAGAGTAAGTGGGTTGTAAAATCTGCCTTGTCTTTGGTAGTGTCACTATATGCTGTTTAACCTTTGTATGCCAAAGCTGGTGACACTACTGGGCAATATTGTTCCTACATGTAGGGCAAGGAAGAAAGGACAAGAAGAAATAAATGGGACGGAAATGCCTTAAACTGAGGACAAGGGGGTGATACTATACTATACTATACTATACCCTTCACTCCCTAGGAGCCTCTCAGGAGACTTGGATCCTGGTAGATACATACATACTCAGGGCAAAGCCAATACACTATTGTCCAAGCAACATAGATATTGATAAAGAAGTTAACACTGCTTGGTGCAAAACTGATTTTCACTCTGCAGTGGTCCTGCTTTTACAGAACTGTTCTTGTCCTTTAATATAAATAGCAGGGAAAGGAATTTCATACACATGATTTTTGAAACTTTGGGTTCCTACATAGTGCCCTTAACTTTAAGGCTAGGGACAGACATTACACATAAACTGGTTTTAGTGATCAGGAACTGGTTTAAACCTGTAACAGAACATAAGTTCAATGCACATAAACCAGTTTCAAAATGACCGAAACCAGTTTGAGATGAATCTGGTTGAATGTAGTATCAGACTTAACTGATTTAGTTCAAACCGGTTTATGCAATATCTGTCTCAGACCCCTTCCTGGTTTAACTTAAACCAGAGTCTCCCAGCATCCCGGCATGCTCTCTGGGCTGGCCTCTGTGCTGCAGCCCAGCCGGGCTGGCCCCGTGCCTCTGCTCTCCCTCCGGAGCTGGGGCAGGCAGGGGTGGGGTCTGGACAGAGAGGGGTTTCATTCCCCCCACCCTGTCCCACTGGCAGGGACCCAAGCGGGGTCTGCTGGGCACTCCCCCTCGCTGCTGCAGCCATGGGCCAGCATGGCCCCTGAGCCAGATGGGGGCAAGGAGCAGGGTTATTCTCCCCTCTACTCCCACTGCCTCCGGGGGACTGCAGCCAGGTCTGCCAGCCCTGACCACCACTGAGCGGCAGAATAAGCCCCCTCGTTGTTCCCTCCGCCAGACGCTGGAGGGAGGGGGAATAACCCCAGTCCCTGACCCCAGGGGCAGTGGGGGTAGAGGGGAGAATAACACCCCCCCGCTCTCTCTGTCTCAGGGGCCATGCTGGTCATGGCTGCAGCAGTGAGGGGAAGCGGGGTGCCCAGCAGACCTGGCTCAGGTCCCTGCCGGTAGGACAAGGAGTGGGGAATTAAACTTCTCTCTGGCCAATTCAGCCCAGACTGGTCACAACCCCCAGCACACCTTCCCTGCAGCCAAGGGCACACTTTAGCACCCCTGGGCTTCTGGGCTGAGCAACTGCAAGCACATGCCCGCATGTCTGTGCGGTTACAAACCAGTTAAGTCTATCCAGGTTAGACTAACTTGCAAAAGTTGAATCAGTTCAAGCTCCGGCTTCTTGAATGTCTGTCCATAGCCCAAGAGTCCCAAAGGGCCATGGCCATCATTGGTGTTTGGCTCTTTTGGAATTCAGGATATTTTATGACTGCTTATATATGGACTAAGGAGCTTTACCGTTATCAACCAGAGTTTAGTTTTAGTCTTTATTCATGATTGTAAACTAACAATTTTAAGAGTAAAATAATCAAAACATATTAGAACTAAGATGTATTCATTTACAGGAGCCAAAATGCAAGAAATCACCAAGATGTTTATACTGCATGGACTTCACATATTCTACCTCCTTGTATTTCATTTGGTAAGTTATGTTTTCCTTTCCTTGGTAAAAAACCCAACAAATCTCAATAGCTATATCCATGCCCTTAATCTGTAATTCAGAAAAATCTGTAATTCAGAAATGGCATGTGAATTGGCAGCATCTTCCATATTGAGTGTTTATGCTACTAACTATGACATAAATCCTGGACATTTATGTCCTTATTCAAAAGTTTAAAATTAATATCAGTCACTCAGAAAGAAGAGTTTTGTGAACAACTTGAAACAAGTGTGGAGGAAAAGCCTTATTTTTCTCTGTAATAACTGAATCTGATAATAGATTAAGTTGCTTTTTATAGCTGAAACTTGCATAATTAAAGATTTCAAAAACAACCACTAAATCATCAAACACTGAAGATATTTTATAGTGTCCTGGTGCTGGTTACTGTGTTATAACTTACACTTCTGCTACTCTGTTATTTGCTCTGTAACACCCCTTGCTATGTAGTTTAAATCATGCATATTATTTATCTTCAGTTTCCCATGAAATTCAATTTGCAGTGAAGTATCTATGGCATAAATTGATAACTTTTGCTTATATGAATAGTCTTTCCTTTTGGAAGAAACCAGTCGAGTCAAAGTAATTGCTGATATTTACAAAAGTTGGACAATTAGGCTCCCAATTTGCATTGGCAATTAACATGAAGTATAACAAAATCTGATTCAGACCTATAAAATACGGAGACCTGGGCACCATGCATAAAATGTGCGTCTTAATTAATCCTGTTGACTTTAGTAGGATTATTTCAAGATTGAACTCTGGGCTCTTACTTCCTCTCTTTCCAATTGTTATTGCTAGTGGCTGTGACAATAGAAATGTTGAATCTGCACTGCACCAACTACATTGGCTTTACACAGGATTGTAGCACCTGCTGGACAAAAATGGGACAAAGAGCGAATCCCTCATCCCTTACTGATTCATGAATAGATTGTGATTCATTCTTCTTGCATTTGGGAATGTTTACGGCTCACATAAAGCAGTTTAATTGACAGGAAGAGATATCTGTTCCTTGCTACAAGAACTAAACTTTGAACCTTACAGTTGGCTTATATAGTGTTTGCCTTTGTTCTTTCAAAAGAAGTAAGTCACCTTGTAAAACATGACAGAGTAAAATCCTTCCAAAAGCATTATTTAATGACTTAAACTAGTTTAAAATCTGTATGGCCAGATCCTGCTCACTTTGATCTTTCTGAGCAGTACCTTCATGACTAGTACCCCAGGACTCATGGAGATTGTTTCCTTATGTGAAGAAAAATGGCAAAATCCATGGCTATTTGTAGGACTTCTGGTTTTGCTAAGACAAGGCTAAGGCTCTAAGAAACAGCTTAGGAAGAATAGGCCTCTCTGATCAGCGAATGTCCTGATAAAAGGTGTAGAAAAAGAAGAATACACTAATGAGCGGGGAGGCTGGTACAAAGAAAGGAGTTAAGATAAGAGAGGAAATGAAGGGAGCCAGGTATGCACTTGGCAAAAGGACAAGTAAAAACAGATATTTTGGCAAAAGGAAAGATAAACATTGGCACAAAAACTTGAGTGTTTCAGGTATAAATGTAGGTGTTCCTAGGACTGTTTCTTTGTAATGAGCTAGGGGAGCATAATTTGCGTATGGTCTTGCTATCATTATTCTTGGCAATTGAGTTGGGCTGATTGCTAAACAGACCAGCTTGTGTACTGGCAAAGAGGCAATAAAACTCTCCGAGCTTTTTGCCACCCAACACAAATTTGAGTTGTTCTTTTTGTGTTGCATCTGGACTCCAGGAAGCTGCTTGCTACAACTGGCCTCCAGAAGCACACAGATTCAAGTGACGTGAACACCAAAAGTGACAGCAAGTAAAAGGTCACCCAAACCCACATCTCAGAACAACGCTGTTATTCTTAGCATGCTTGGAACTTACATTACTGGTCCTTGACTAGACATACAAGACAAATGTTGTTTCCTGATTAACCATACTGAGGTTTGAAAGGCCTCTTTCATAACCTGTATTAAATTTTTCCCTTGAAACCTGTAAGTATAGTCTATGACTGCACTAATCTTCATTGCAAGTACATTTTGCTGTGTTGTGCCTGTTGGTCTGAATTTCTATGGTGAAACTGTCCCACAAATTACAGGATCTCACTTTCAGTGGAAATCATGACATAGAGTAGGCACCCTCTTAGGCTGTGTCCACACAAGCATGGACATTTTTTTCCCTGAGGACAACTAGCAGTGGGACACCTTGTGCTGCCACTAGTTGTCCTGGGGGAATACCTGTGCTAGGTGTCCTCTGGCATGTGGCAGGTTGCCCTGGGTGGGGTAGGGGAGGCTGGGGCCAGCACTGGGCTGGCTCCAGAAGCCTTACCTGGGGTCTTGGGGTCCTCCCAGGGCTGCAGCAGCAGCGATCCTGCTGCTCAGAGCCTGGCCAGCAGCTGGAGCATAGCTCTGGCCAGCCAGGTTCTGGTTTTGAGTGGCATATGCTGCCCCTGCATGCGCCACACTGCTTTTTTTTCTGCACAGGTTTTTTTGACCCCTGGAGATCCAGGGCTCAACTCCCCCCACTACGCTGCTCCCTTGCAGTGTGGAGAACAACTGAACGTATGGTTTGTGGTGCCACAGTCATGTCTGCAGCGTTGCATACCGCATGGCTGTACTCGTCTGAACACAGCCTTAGAGCTTGTCTCCACAGACCAGTAGAATTACAGAAGTATTATTATTCTACAAGAATAAAATCATGTTTATTTTAGAATATAAGACATTTGTATACATGCTTGTGCTGCAGCACATGCATTTATATAAATGGCAAAATATGGATCAATGCTGAGAAAATGGCAGCGGTACACTTTTGAACTAAAACACATCAAAGGTGTTTCCACTCAAAAGAACATCACTGCCATTTTCTCAGTGCTGACATGCATTTTGCCATTTATACAAATGCACGCAATGCAGCGCCAGGCACATCAGCTTGCATGTAGAGCAGACAGATTAATCAAGTCTGTTTCAACCTGGGGGTTTTCCGGCATGTCAGAGCAGACGAATGTATGTGTATGAATGCTCATAGTGTCTACATGGGAGTTATACCAGCACAGCTGGCTGTAGTATGTAATAATATTGCTATGTCACTATAGTTGGTCTGTTTTTTTGGCCCAGGCAAGGCCACAGTGACGGGGAGAAGGGAATACAAATATCAATCAGATGAACTGAATCCTAGGCTGGGCTTCCTGGTAGGTAAAAGCTACATCTGCAAAAACAGATTCTGTTTAGCAACTTTGGATTCACAGCAAGAACAGCTCTGAGCTATTAGGGTAGGATGCAAAACTGAACAACGTGTCCATGTGCAGTGTTTCTGATGGACAAGGGAGTTTTGGTCATAATGAACACAAGGGTATACTGGAACACCACCAAGTTCACTGAACGTCAATCCCCTTAAAAAGACAGCAGCTACCGATGCAAGTTTACATTAAATTTTCAGCAGCCAAGTTCCTGAGTGATGAGACAGCTATTTTTTCACAGTCTGTACTTTAGGCATATCAGCAAGTGACATAATGGCAAGTCACTTGTAAGCCACAGGAAAAAGAATATAAATCTCTTGAATTGAGTGACAAGATATACAAACTGCTTGTTTAAAGGATTCATTATTAAGGATATTCTTTATAATTTTGAATTTGACTTTTGAATCTATGTCATAATATTTTAATATAATCCTCTGATAGTTTACAGCCAACCACCATCTTTTGAAGACTTACCAAGCCTTGCCTCTGTCTTCTCTCAGCTTCTTCCACTTGCTTATTTTGATTAAGATTGCCAAGCAGAGGAGGGAAGAAAGAAGGAAGTTCTGATGTCCCACATCCCCCTGCCGGATCTGCCCAGATTGCTATGGCTGCCAAGGGTAGAGAAGTAGGCTTTGAAGGCCCACTGTTTGGCTCAGAAACCTGTAAGCAAGTGTCAGGACCAAGGCTCTGTCCTCTAGCCTGTCAGCTGACAGGAAAGTAAGAGGCTTCTGGGGTGTTGCAGCTACATGTTGCCTCTTCCGTGTAGCTGTACAGAAGGGGCCAGTCTGTCCCCTCTGTCCTTTTGTGCAGGCAAAGTGATGACTCTTGCAAGACGATCATCTGGAATTTAGTTAATGTATTTCTTTTTTAAATTATTTGTTTTGAAGTAAACTTTAAGGCAGGACATGGACTTTCAAAATGGACATACATTTAAAAACCAACAAGATGGGGCACAGTACAAACCAGCCATCCCCAGGCTGCTCACTTCACATTATTTTAGGGCAAAAGAAATTTAAAAGCTTCATTCTTGTGAAGTGAAGGCCAAGCAACTGCTTAATCACAATTAATACCAACATATTCCTTCCCTACCCTCCCTACAGGCTGCCTGCCAGCATACAGAGGAACTGCATCTAAGTGGACCTCTGCAAGACATGACTTTCAGTGTTCAAGAAGGTACAATTGGATTTCAGTACCTATACCAGGTAATCATGATCTTGGAGAGTTTGTCAGCGACCCCAAAGGCCACAGGCTTCCATTATCTGAAAACTCATACAATTAAAGAAACCAAAATTATCAGAATAAATCTAGAATGGATATTAGTGTAATCCTCATTTCTAGTAAATGAACACAAGCAATTACTGTATTGCTTGAACTCAAGACCAGGTCCCCCCCCCCATTTAACACGAGAAAAGCCCCTTGTCATGGATTTGAGTACAAGCAGGGAGGCCAGGTGGGTGCTGTGGCTCTTGACTCTGGTCCCATCCCAGGATCAGGGGTCAGAGTCAGACCACAGCTGCAGCATTCCCCCAGCATCCGCTGCTTCCCTGCAGCCTGGCCCCACCACTGTCGTTTACCCTCTGGCTTGGCTTTGGCTCTGGCCCTGCTCCAGCCCAAGGCATAGATTACATGGCCCTTCTGGCCCCCTCCCAACCACGCAGCATCAGCTCCAGCTCCAGTCTCAGCCCAAGCTCCAGGGCTGGAGCTGCCACCATTGCAACTACTGCTGCATGGTAAGGCAGTGGCTAGAGTGATCATGTGCTTCGTGCCCCAGCCTGGAGCTACAGGTTAAGTGGCAGGAGGTAGAGTTAGTGGAAGGGACAGGCAGGGGGGCAGGTGGTGGGGAGCAGGCAACAGAGGGCACAGGCATGGAGGCAAGCAGGAACAGGGGGCAAGTAGTAGCAGAGGTAGGTGCAGGGGGGCCAGGCACCAGGGTGCACAGGTACTGGGGTGTACAGGTACTGGGAGTGGGGGTGGGGCAAGCAGCAAGGGGGAACAGGAGGGGAGAGGGGGCAGGGGGAAGGCTACTTGTCTCCCCTGCTGCCTACCCCTGCCCCCATGCTGCTGATGCCCTAACTGCAGTGGAGGGAGGTGAATTTAAGATGACCCTGCAATAATTACATTCTAAACCTGGAAAATTATAACAAATTTATATATTTTCCATGTATTGTATCTAATTATTGGGGGGGTCATCTTAAATGCAAAGTTGTCTTGGATTCAGGTAAATATAGTACATATGTTCATTTGATTTCTGCAACTCTCTCTTCTTAGAAGTTCCCTTTGCTGCAGGCAGGTCACTCCAAGTGACCATTGCCATATTTTTGCAGGCAGGAACATAGCAGAGACAACAGACAGATAGATGAGGGATGAGAGGGTCATGTCACCCCATTCTTATCCTCAAACAAGCATTATAAGGAGATATTTGCTATGGAGAATGTGGAACCCTTACTCCCTGCTAGAGTTCAAAACAATTCATTGAAGAATTTCAAATGAAAAACACCTGCTTTGGTTGAGCAAACTACTTGAATACCATCTCTCCAGCTCCATTTGGAAGTAATGTTAACAATGAATTCCAAGAAAAAGTTGTTATGTAATACTCTTTCACACTAACCTCTTGACTTCTTTCTTCTTTTTCTCCTGTAGTTCATAATAGAGCCGCCTGCTGATAGTCTGAGACTAAGTGGTGAAACAGATGGCATCTTTGAAATCGGACCAAAGCAAGGAATTTTGTATTTCAATAAGACTTTAGACAGAGAAACCAAAGCAGTCTATAAGTTACAGGTGAATGCTTGGTGAAAAATAGGAGGGAGTAGTAATTATTTTGCATTTTTTTGCCAAAACCTGAAATTGGGGGGAAAACTTTCCCCTGAATTTCCAATTGTTTCTTCAGACCACCATTTGCTGGCAGGTTCTGATCCAAGACCTTACATCCCATCTGTCAGAACTGGGACAGTTCACTATGTTAAACTAATAAGAAAAGGGGAAGGAAGGACAGGGATCAACTGAACTCCCATGCTAATTCACCTGACCTTGGTGTACCCCCAAGCTACAGTGCTTCGAGTTTAAGCGGTAGTCTGAAGCACAGTGTGCAGTACTGCTGCACTTGGTAAGTTTACCACATAGATATGATCTAAGGAATTTCCAAAAACCTAGAAAAAACCTAACGTGCCAATATTTGAAAAGGTAAATGAGATGACCTGGGTATCATTAGAGACCTGTCAATTTGGTATTGATCTCAAGTAAAATAATGGTTAATATAGGGCTCAATAAAGAATTAAATAACAACAGCAACAACAACAAAGGAAATGGGATTTAATGCCAATAGAACCTGTCAAACTAATTGGATATCTTTTTGTGATGAGATTATGAATCTGGTTGATGAAGGTAATAGTGTACTAATTATGCACCCAGTAAACATTTGCAAAAACTTAGTATATCAAACCAAATGCTGAAGCAATGTTGTTGTCCTCCATTTTGTAAGAAAAGTTCCTGTGTAAATGTAGAGCATGAGCAAGACCTTCTTGTCTGTTCTGTTTCCATTTTATCTCTGAGTATATCTACAATGGTACCATGTACTGCTGAGCAGAGATACAGTTTGGGTACCAAAATAAGTACAGATGCAAAAGCATGGCAATCCACCTGCACTAATATATCTTACTTCTCAGCAGGTCTAAGTACCCTGGGCAGAGTCCTGTGCTAATATAGTTATACTGCTTCTTGTACTCAAGCTATCTTGGAGCACAAACTTTACTGTGTAGACCAGTGTTTCTGAAGACCCCCTCATTAGACTCTAGGCACCCCTCAGAAAATGTGAGCTCTTAATTTTCGCTTGCTTTTTTTCTATAAAAAATAGTAGAGCAATTCTTTTCTTGCAAAGACTGTAGAAAGACCACAACAGGTCAGAATGTTTTTAAAACTATGAAGTCCTATTCAAAATTTCTGGTTTTAATTTTGTAAACCATATATGCACATCTAACAGTGCTAATGTTGTGTGGCACCCTTGAAAAGACTTCACAGCATCCCAGGATGTTATGTAGATATATCCTCAGTCTCACTTATCTTACCAAATCATTGGCACTCTTCTAGGTTTTGCATGGATCAGCTGGATCAAACGTTTCTAACATAATCTCACACTACAGCCATTCAGTACATTTTTCACTTAAATGATTTGTCTCATCCTAGAAATCTGGGCAGCCAATGAATCAACAAAAAATCAATTTCAGTTCTTGCAAAATGGAATTTCTCCAAGCTTTTCTTCCAACAAATAAATTCAAGACTGTTTTCCATTTTGATTCAGAATGAAAAAAAAATCAAGATCTCAAAACTTTTCCTGAGGTGGAAAATCCTGCACAGCTTTGCACTCCTAAGGCTCATCCTTAAGGCGAGCCCTCTGAATCAAATTCTTTTTCTTGACATTTTTACCATTAGCAATGCCCTATACACATAGTTCGATAGTCTGCGTTGGACTATGGAACTATAAAGATGAAAGACACTGATTCCTGACACTGAGCTGTCCTGAAGAGTTTGCCTTATCCAACAATGTTCAGAATCCAGCCTTAACTAACCTCCAGGGAAATCACGGGGAAAAGGAGCTCAGACTATTACTGAAACAGGCCACCACATGAGGATGATCCTCTTCCTCATTGCTGGTTTTTGTGCTGCGGAAACTACCATGTGAACAATGTCATGAAGCCAAAACGATATGAACTGCAGTAAGCGGTTGTGGTACTGACAGTCCAGTCCAGTGAAACTTATCCCTTTGAAAGGGGTTGTACCAAGATTTGTTGAGAGAAAGTTGCAGCTATTGCCTTTGTGACTTTTATTCAGGCTCTTGACAATGATAGTAATGGTCTAGACTGGGGCAGCAACATATGGCCCATGAGCCAGGTTTGGTTCATGTAATCACTGGATCCAGCCCAGGAGCTGGAGGGCTTTGCCTGTGCCTGTTCAGGGGCTCAGCAGTGAGGAGCTGCATCAGGGCCAGGCAGCTTCCAGCTGCACTCTTGCTGCAGTTTCTTTTCCCTACCACCCAGTGCTCCCCAAGGCTGCAGCATGGGCTCAGCTTCCAGCCAGGGGGGAGCTGCAGTGGGGCCAAGATGCACCTGTGCTGCAGCTGAGGGGCGGGGGGGAGGGAGAAGCAGTGGCAGCATGGACAGAGTTCCCAGCCATCCAACCCGGGTGCAACTCTCCACCTGCTGGAATCTGCCCAACCCCAGCCAGGGAGCAGGGGGCTGGGATAAGCATCGGCGGCACAAATGCAGTTCCCAGCTACTTGGCCTGGAGTGGGTGGAAAGAAAATACAGTATCTCACTGGTGATGTCACTGGTCTAGCCCATTTGACTCAGGCTGATGCAATGGTCAAATTCACTTACATGAGAATTGGTCTCTGACATTTATTTCTCTTTTCATTGTTAGGTGAATGCCGTAGATGCAAAGGGAGAGAAAGTAAAAGGTCCCTACATTATCACTGTAAATGTTCAGGATATCAATGATAACCAGCCGCAGTTTGACCAGCTAAAGTATTTTGGAGTAGTGAGGCCACTACCTTCACGTGCAGGTAATTGCCATTATCATTATAATTGTTGTTAAGATTTTCACTGTTCTTACATTTTCTTTATTCATTCTGGATTACTGGCTTAAGCAGTGCAAAGTGACCCCAAGCTACTCAGGCATAGATAGCAGAGAATGCCCTCTGGGCAGAAGAACTCCTCACTGATGAAGAGTTAGTTGACGAAACAATTCCCCACCCCTGGTGTAGGTGGGGAGAGGAAGTGTCCAGGGCAGGACCTATAAGATTCTCCAAGGGATTTGATGTTAGGGCTATACATTTAGCCTAATTAGTGTAGGTGCTGAGAGGTTCTGAGTGCATTAGTGCATACTTAGTAAATTTGCAGATTATACCAAATTGGGTGGAGGAGCGAACACTCTGCATGGTACAGTTAGGATCCAGAATTACCTTGATAAACTGAAAAAATGGTCTGAAATTAATCAAACAAAATTCACTAAGGATGAGGGCAAAGTCCTGCGCTTAGGATGGAAAAATCACATGCATAAATACACATAGGGGAATGACTGACTAGGCTGCAGTACTGCAGAAAAGAACCTGGGGGTTACGGTAGACCATAAGCTGAATATGAGCCAACTGTGTGCTCTTGTTACAAAAAAGGCCAATAGCATAAATGGTTTTATTCATAGGAGCACCACTTGCAAGTCAAGGGAAGTGATTCTTCCCCTCTATTCAGCACTGTTAAAGCATTGCCTGAGGTCCTATGGCTGGTTTTGGGTACTACACTTCAAGAAAAGAGTCCTTTGGAGAGCAGCAAAAACGATTAGAGGTCTGGGAAATATGATTTACAAGAAGAGATTGAAAGAAGTGGGGTTATTGAATCCGGAGAAAGGAAGACTTCATAGGGGGTTGGATTGGATAACCTCCTGAGGTCCTTCCAGCCCTCCTTTTCTATAAGACTGAGCAGGGATTTGGTAACAGCATAGGTGACATGTAAGGAGGGGTGCATGGGGGGGCTACGTGCCCCTCCCCCCCCAATTTCTGTGTCATTGGCATGGTGTGGGGCTGCAACCTGGACAGAGCCAGTGCCTGGCAGCAGTGGGGGCAGCGGTGGTGCCAGTGGCACAAAGGTTTGCCCCACCACTGTCAACACTTATGTATCATCTATGGGCAACAGTCTTCAAATACCTGAAAGGTGGTTATAGAGCATGGTGATAGACTCTTCTCTCTATCAACAGGAGACAGGAAAAGAAGTAACAGTATGATGCCAGCTGACTTCCTGCCCCGGGACAGGGGGCTGGACTTGATTCATAGATGCTAGGGTCGGAAGGGACCTCAATAGATCATCGAGTCCGACCCCCTGCATAGGCAGGAAAGAGGGCTGGGTTCAGATGACCCCCC